AATATATTCATCAACAATAATATCGTGTAAAATAGGAATAAAAACCAGAAACGAAATTTTTATTCTTAAATCAAGAAATTCTTTTTAATTATTTTGAATTCTTTATTTAATAACATATCATAAAAAACAAACTATCATGTAAGTTAAATTATTATAAAATAAATGAATTTTATTACCGTTAAATTTGTAAATGAATGTCCAATTCTCAGTTCCGATAATTATTTATTAGGAAAGTTATGCTTATTCCGTGACCATGTCTTAGTGATGATAATTATTCATAACACAATTGAAAAATGAAATATAAATCAATAAAACGAAAAAAATTTTAAAAATTTTTTTTTTGTCTTGATACATTTTATAATTTTTACAAAATAGTGTTCATTATTTGATACAAAATTTTTAAAAATATTCGGGAATTTTCAGTTTCCATGCCTACATGGGATAACATACCTAGGTAGACAATTCTGTTTTGAGAAAAAACCTCTAGTATTATATGTTTACATAAATCAGATGATATCATTGTACAGGCGCATTCACACAAGAGTTTTGTGTAAGACACTTTTGAAATAGAATCTTATTTAACTAGAAATTTAATAAGCAATCAAAGTTTAAAAAGTTTTGATTATTAAACGAATGAACGTTCCAAAATGTATTGATAATAAAATTATTGTTGAAAAATGTGAAGAAGTTTAATGTTTAATATTTTGCTAAAAAGAAAAATATTTTATTGAAAAAACTATTAGATTAATTTTTTCTAATTCTTTTTTTTTAAAATTATAATTTAATGAGAAACAATTTAATTTGAACTTTGAAGAAAAGTATTAACATGCTAAGAACTCAATATTAATTGGTAGAAAAAACTCCTAATATGTGAAAGTTGAACGGCCATTATTTGCCATACAGCCCTGATTATATATATGGTTTATAAATAAATGTATGCTGTGAGAAATTGAAAGTTTTTGTGCAGTATTTGCGATTTTGCTCTTAGCATAGTGCTGAAACAATAAAAAGATAGATAACAATATTAGATTTTTTTGAAACAGTCATAAATAATAATTGAATGAGTTTTAACTCATTATAAAATAGATTATGGCCAGTACGAACCCATTAGCAAATAATATTTTAAGAAATGTTATTCAAAGGGAAAATGGTTTAAGTTCATCGTGTAGCTTCCAATCAAAACTGTTTGCAGGTGAATGACAATCTCAGACAATCTCAGACAATCAAAGAATGATGCATAATAAAAGAAATATTAAACAATTTGTTTTTAGATCGTTTATCGATTTCAAAAAATCTATTTAAAAGAGACTTGGTGTCTCATTATGGCTGCATCAATGCTATTGAATTTTCCAGAGAAGGCAATTGGTTAATATCTGGTAAAATAAAATCTCTTGAGACTCTCATCCATCTATGTTAAATAAATGTTGATTTTAAATTTAAAATAAAGGTGGCGATGATCGTCGTGTCCTGTTGTGGAATTTGCATAAGAGTATGTTGAATATTGAAGAACCGAATGCTATGCTGAAACAGCATTTAAGCAATATCTTTTGCTTAAGCTTCGATTCAAAAAATACACGAGTATACTCAGGGGGCAATGATGATATGGCGATTATTCATGACATAACAAGTGGCGATTGCATCGATGTATTTTACCATACAAAACCAATTTACGGACTGGGTGTTGATCCATTTAATGATAATATTTTTGCTACAGCTGGTGAAGATGGGCGAGTTTTACTTTTTGACTTACGAGCTTCTAATGCAGAGCCAAAAACTATCGTAAAATATCGTGCTCCATTTCATGCTGTTCAATTTCATCCGATTGATAATAATTTTATGATTACGGCTAACGCAAAAGAAGGAGCCGCATTGTGGGATAATCGATCTCAGCGAATGTATGTATAATTTTATTTAAAATAATTTTTGAATTTTGAAAAACCAATATAAATTCAACAGGCCTATTATTCGTTACGGTGGTGAAGATGCATCTCAAAGTTGCATGAGTGTCCGTTTTAACGCTAATGGGACACTTTTATTGGCTCTTCGTCGACGACTTCCACCTATATTATATTCTACAATTGATCATGAGCCGATTTGTCAATTCTATAATCAAGACTATTACAATTCATGTACAATGAAGAGCTGCACATTTGCAGGACCTTTCGATGAGTATGTTCTCTCCGGATCAGATGATTTTAATCTTTATGTTTGGAGAGTTAATGATGCAGATCGTAAGTACTATATTTGACTTGTTCATAAAAAAAAATATTAATATCATATTATAAATTTCATAATATCATAGTTGAAAGTCGCCATCAATGGGTTGATAAAAATCAAATTGTCCTTTACGGCCATCGATCTATAGTCAATCAAGTGCGTTACAACCCCCAAAGATGCTTATTAGCCTCGTCAGGCGTTGAAAAAATCATTAAAGTATTTTATTATATATTCTTATAAATTGATTCTTAAGTTTTTTTTTTTTTTTTTGTGAATTTCATATAGTTATGGACACCATTTGAATTAGACCAATGGACAGGTAGTTTAACAGAAACACAAATTGATAATGTTCGTGAGGTCTTTACACATGAGGAATATATTTCGCTGGTTCATTCCAACGGACAAGTAAGTTAGGCAACCTTTATTTCAATTTGTAAAATCGATTCCAGATAATGTTCAATTTACTTACCTAGAATATGACTCATGATTATAGCAATCAGAATACAAATGAGGATCCAAGAATGATTGCATTTTTCGATTATTTAGTGCAGCAAGAAATCGAGGGATGGAGTAGCGAGAGTTCAAACCAAAGCTCTGACCATACATCAGAAAATTCATCACGTCCCGATAGTCCAACAAGTGATACGGAAAGAGATACAGCAGTGAACATACAAACTGTTAAAACAGTAGTTAATCGTAATCGTGGTAATATTATATACAAAATTCTTTAATTTAGACAATAATGACGAGTTGACTATAAATAGATACTCTTCGTCGAGGAGAAGCCAGCCATCGTCATAAATATCGCAATCGAATTGCATTTCTGATAGCCACAAAACGAAAATCACTCAAAAGGTTAGCATTGAAGCGTTGTGCTAGGAATATAAACTCGAGAAGACTGAAGAACAAATATATTCCTAGACAAAGTAAGCGGGCATCAAATTTGAGAAGCGTGAATAGGAAACCTTATGATAAGAAAACCAGAAGACTTAGTGTTCAGGTAAAAATTACGAATTCTTCTTTGCGCGTGATATTTTCCTATTTAAAATGTTTTTGCAGAGTAAATACAAGCACGTGTCTAGAGAACAGACAAGTGATTCAGAAGTGCCAATTAAGAGACGTCGAAATCGTTCACACACGGGAAATTTGTCATATCGGGCATTTAGACGAAAAGCCAAAACTCCTTTATCATCAGCAGCATCAAATACAAGCACTAGGGTTGCAGATAAATCTGATTCCAGTTCAGACTATGATGACAATATTAATTTAGTAAATAATATCAATAATTCTAACGATATCAGAGACACAAATCCATCTATTCCGATTCCGAGCACCAGGTACTTTTTAAGGAAAAAATCAGACTCAATAAATTTTAATTTTTATTTTTGAACATTTTTTTTAAGTACTGGCATTACGGCAAACGGGAAAAATTTCATCTTTCGTTTTGCAAGTGCTCCAAATAATACATACGATTCGGACGATGATCAGTCACTTCCTGATACCAACCAATCAATCAATAACCATCTGTTGCGGATCAACAATAATCACAATCATTCCAATAATTCTGCAATAAATTCTAATTCTAATAATTTGGAATATAATGATGGAGCAAGTACAAGTACTCATCGAAGCTTTTTGAATTCATCTCAAAAAAGTCATTATAACAATCATAGTCACGAGATTGGAAGACGAAAAAAGTATAAAACTCACGAGAGTGAGCATGATTTTGAAGATTATGTTTCAACCAACAATTCCAACTCACTTTTATCAAGTACTGAAAGCAGTAGTAATGACAGTTATCACGAATATTTTAATGCCAAGAAGAGGAGGCTCAACAGCCAAACAAGCAATGGAGAAGCTTCAACTAATAATATATTCGAAACACCGCCAATAAAGAAAACTACAGACAGCGGCATTGCTGATGAAACAATGACTCCCAATACGAGTAACTCAAGAGAAAATGCTAGAAATTCTATGAATGACGTGATAACAAAATTTGATGATGTAAAGAGAAACTATAGGAAGAACATGATTACATCAGATGATTCTGACTAAATATTTATTTAATAATTAATTAAGAGAAAGAGAGAGAGAGAGAAAAAAACATAAGATTCATTTTTTATAAACTCATCCACTGTATGTTCGTATCCTGTTTATCTATAATAAAGTATTAGTGTATTTTTAATTCTCTAGCATTTTTCTGCATCTTTGAATATTGTTTCATACATTATCTAGCGACTCGTGATTTCTGAAATTCTCATTTATGTGGCTTAACTGATTGATCTATAATTTTTGAGTAGCACCTGAAAAAATTATGTTTTTATGTGCTAAAAATTGTTAAAGTCAATAAAACAACTTAATTTCTTTTTGTTATAAAAGTACAAATTTCAATTTAATGCAAATGGTCTTCATACAATATTGTATAATTATCATTATAATTTAGGTATGTAAAAAACAAAATCTATTAAAAAGGAAATCTTTTTACGGGATCTAGAAGTGGAAGACAAACCGTATTTCACATGATTTAAATATTTAATAAGATATAATAAAAATAAGAATAAAATTAAATTAAATAAGTTTACATAAGAAATAGAGCTTTAAATTCTAGCTTTTTACTTTCAAGTAAAGTCAATGCATTTCTGACAGACAATATCTCTTCACCACCACCCTTTCTTTAGGTCCAATATGCGTAAGATAAAGGCTATTCAGTTTAGTATTTTACTCAACAAAAAAAGAAATAATATGGCAACTTAATCTTGGTATTTGGTTTAACCTTCTCATATTCTCGCTTTCTTTTCAAAAATGCATTTAACTCTTCTTCATTTTTCATAGATTGCTTAATCCTTAAAATCATATCCAAAAATCAACTAATAATAATAAATAAGCATAATTCCTTATCAAAGTAGAGTGAATTATCATCATCATTGTAATATAATTTAATATAATATATAAATGTACCTTTATGTTTATTCATAAAATTAAAGGAAGAAATCGTTTGGAAGAACTGACTATCTCTGACTTTTATATCGAATCATTTCAATTATTAATTATTAACGTCTTTTACATTATATCACGAAATCTTTTATGTGTTATTTCTCTTAAGACAAAAAAAAATCATTCAGTAAAGTTAATGAGACATGAGTCTTTTCCTCTCACCAATCAAACAATATCGCACGCTGAATATCTGAATGAAAAATATCTTTAAATAGTTTTTTTTGTAGGTACGCTTTTAAAAATTTAGCAAAAAAAGTTCAACTTAAAAGCCACAATTGGAAGCTTTTTTCAAGTGTTGATTAAAATATTTTAAAAAAATTTAGGCACTTACTGTGGAGGAAGACACTTTATCATTTACTACGTAATATATAGTTCTCTTTGTGCGAAAAGGCAAAACAAGTGTAGATATTTAAGGCTAACAACTTTCTTTTCAATCAATATTATCTTCTTTTTTTTCTTGCTTTACTCCTTTTTTTCATATTTGGTTCCTCTATATGACTCTCACCATATAAATAATAATCATAAAACTATTAATAAAGTTTGCAATTCGGTTTTGTGAGCATTTAAATAAAAATATTGTATTTCAAAGGTAGTAAAAAAGGATAATCATGGTATGAAGAAAAGCATAATAAAACGTTATCAACTTAATACTAGAGAAAAAAATATTTAAAAAATGTTGAAAGTGCTCGTGTTAGTAACGTCGAGGGACTTTAGCGCATTTTTGTATCAGTGCACAGTGTTAAATTACAAAATAGTGGACTAAAACAATTCAAATGTGCAAAGCAAATATTTGTTAAAAACGGCTTTGCTAGTTAATGGTTTTTTTTTAAATTCAAAATTTGAAAAGAAAGAGTCGTCGCGTTCTCTACGATCAAAAATGCGCTTAAACCAAAAATTGCAAATATATTTGATAAATAATGTAAATTAAGTTATGAATATGTTAGATAGTAATTTCAAATCAGTAAGACATTCTTTTTGTTTAAATATTTCTTTGTTTTTGTGCTACACTTTTTCACTTTTGTTTTCACGGAGAGCACAATATAATAAATAACATTTATCGAAATATGAGAAATAAATATTGATTATAACTTACTGGCATAACATGTGCCGAGCGTTTTTTCTTCTTCTTTCTGATAAATTATAAAACTTGTGAAGTATAAATTAGTTCTGTGAATTTTATCTTTGTTTCTTATTAAAACTGTGCGTATTAATCCTTCATTCTTTCTGCTGATGAAGGTTTCAAAAATATGTAATTCTATTTATATTTTCAACTGAAGATTCAAACATTTTTAGCAGGTTTACATTATAAGAATCATGAAATGCAACATAGATTGAGTACTTCTTTATGGTGCTATGAGAGGTATAATAGTAAGAAATCAAAATAATAAAATTTACGCGAATGTCGATTATGTCTAGATGTTTTTTTTTTTCAATAAATACAGATGTTAACTTTGTATTTTTACTTTTGTTAACTTCATATACATCATTTTCGCTTAAATCTTGAATGTACTCAAAGAGTCGATAACCGAACTGATTTGATTAAACACTGGTAGTCGATCTTCAGGAATTTGTTTCATGACATTAACCTGAGAAGCATTTTGATCAATGAATGTAGGCTTAACAAATAGTCCGGGTCCAGATATTTGAGGTGCTTGATGCTGAGGCGGTGGTGAAATAGATGCTGACATTTCACTTAAAATCGGACTATTTGATGGACTAAACGAATATGAAAAAATATTGGTTGGACTTGACGACTGATGATCATTAAAGCAATTAGCCGATTGATTCTGAACGCTCGTCATCGTTGGCGACAAAGAACCAACTGAGGATGTTTCTCTATCTGAACCTGTCGACATACTCAAACTTTTCATACGCGATTGTTGCAAACGTGCTTGATAAGCAGCAACGTTTTTGTTATGGATCAGTGCTTCTTGAGAAGAGTGAATAAAATGGCATCTGTAAAAAATGTCATCGAGTTAATGAATAACAAAAATTAAGGCTTTGCTAGGCAAAACGTTATAAATATTGATATTAAAGGTACATACCTCGCACCGTAAGGACAAAATCCGACACTATGGAAAGTACGGCACAATTCGGTTTTATATTTTGGATGTCGTTGCAAGTTACGCAATTCATGCATTCCGTGTGCAAATTGACACTTATCACCATATTTGCATTCTCCGGCTTCCTCAAAAGGACGACAGAGTTCCGTCTTATAACTTTTAAATTAAAATAAAAATAAAATTTTATAATGGCAAAGTCTAAAAGATTAATTAAAATTTTTTTTTTACCGTGATGTATGCGATGATGAAGTCGATTGGGGTATCGGTTCCGATTGTGTTCGCTCCAATTTTCGATGAACTGCACCAGTAGCATTTAAAATATCGTTGAGGGAGGTGAAAAGATTATTGACGGCTGCCTGATTTACATCTGTCATGGGTGTTGAAACCGTTCTCGCCAAAACTGCATGATGATTGCCCACGTCTATTGTTCTCTTCTGTTGAGTCGTTGCAAATAAACTTGCGACATAAGCGTCATTTTGTTGCTTTGAAAAATACATTTCCTCCTTTCCTCGTTGAAATTTCTCTTTGTAGTTCTGATTGTTAATAGATCCGTTGATTTTTGCACTGGATATTTGATTCTGACAAAAAAAAAATTGAACAAGTCAGCCAATGTATGTATGATGTTTTATGCAGGAAGCTAGTCGATATTTTATGCGATGCTCATGTATTTATACAAGTGACAGTATGTAAGAATGTTTTGAAAATGTAAAACTTAAAATGGAGATCACAATAAGGGTTCTGCAGTCAGTGTATCTAAATTTTCTTCAACACTACATTACAACTGCATGAAGTAATAATAAGAAGTGGACAGAAATAACAAGAAAGTACGAAGAAGAAAACAATGGCCCATTTACCTAAAATTTAGTTAACTTTCTTTTCCTGATACTTATGTAATAAAAAAACCTAGCAACAATGAAATGCACTTTGTCAGCATATCGCATAATACATCACTAGCAAATTCCATATGATTAAGTACATTAGGTTTGCTTTTTTTACACATTTAAAGAACCCCATTCAAGAAATTCATGTACGAAAGACGCTATCAAAAGCGAATAGAAGAGAAAACTAGTATAGAAGTCGCCGTTACAGATGTGAACAGACAAAAAAGCGCCAATTAAGTAAATTCATTGCCAATTCATATCTGTAGCTAAAGACCAATATCATATAAATAATATATATAATATAAAGTTTGGTCACATAGAAATAATGGTAGAAGTGTACTTTGGGGGGGGGGGGGGGGGGTGCAACATATGAATTTTTTTTTTTATATTCACACCGTTTTTACGTTTGAATCTATTGGTTTTGTTCAGATTGTGAGGAAATGGAGCAAGATAGCTTAAAATGTTCAGAGACAAAAAGTTTGTGCCTACAATTTTACATCTTTTGCAAAAAACAGATTTTAAATTGGTTGCGGCATTGCAATCGCAAAATACGCTTTCTGTAAGCAAACAAGCAAGCAAGCAAGTTAATCAGCAAGAAATCTAAATAACGAGACATCGTAGAGACTTCTGGTTTTTTACATTTGATCCGTGCTGTTTTATAAAAGAGCTGTATTGTTTTTGGGCAAGGTAGGAACAGCCGTTGCTTCAAAAAAAGCAAAAACCTTCCTTTCTTACGAATTTTTTAAAACAAAAGTTCACTGTGATTTTTATAAAATTGAACTTTGGATGAAAAAAATTTTTAAGAAACCTATGTTGAGCGAAGCTCAGCTGACTCGCTAGCTTTATAATATAGTCTTACACTAGGTTTTTAAAAATTAAAAATTATATTTCAAGTTTATCAATTACTTTCGGATTCTTCACTATTTGATTCAACTTCCGGTTCTTCCGAGAAAATCTTAAAAGGTGAGAAATTTCAAAAAAAAAAATTTATCAAATTTTACTTAAAATCACTACATTTTTATAATTTTATCATTATTTACTAAATTACATCACTTTTAACTTAAAAAAATCATATATTGACTCCCCCTAATGTACACTTCAGCCGAAATAAAAACCAAGATCTAATTGCATTTGAAATTTTCTTCTTTTTGTGAGGGATTTTATGAAAGAATTATTAAAAAAATAACTCAATTAATAAACTAAAACGATTTAAGATAAACAAATTTGTGGACGACATTATCATATATCAGCTATCGAATCCAAAAAACTAGAAGTCTCTAAGTGCTTCCAGTTCCGAATCTTTAAGGCAGCCAGCCAGCCAAAGTAGACCTATAAGTGCATTGTTTTCTAAGGAAAATGCGCTAAAAACATATAATATATATAGCATAAATACGAGAAACAAAACTTGAATACACACATTCAAAAGCAACAGCGGCATAACACTTTTTTTCTTCTTTCTTGTTTTTAAACCTTACATAATACTAAATAATTCCACAGAGAGAGAAACAGAGAGAGAGAGAGAGAAGCATGCAAACAAACGATTGGTTTGGTTTCACTTTCAATGAAGTGTATTTTTAAATAACTTAAAGCTTTATTATTTGTTACTGTTTATGATGCAAATTGAATGCTGAGACATTTCTTGTTTTTTTTTTGTTGTGCAAAGGCGCCAAGGCAAAAATTTCTCATATTGCGAACAACAAAAAATAAAACATATAGTTTAAGATCCTGGAGTTGAATTAAACTCGGCCAATATAACGATTTCACTAATACAACCTTCAAAGATGATCAATAGACACAGCTGAGTTTTTTTTACAGTCAATCGTTGTTTTATTACTTCAATACTTAAATGGTCAGCGAAAGTTGCGCAATACGTCTTGTAACATTTTTCTTTTCTTCTTTCTTTTTTTCGTTTTTGTTAATGGGGTTTTCCGGCATTTATTTTTTATTCGTTTAATTTTTTTTTTTCATTATTATCTCATCATTTCGTAAATATATAGTTTAAATTATATCACGATTGTTACATATTCTTCAGGTGAGAATTACAACTATCGTGCAAGGAGGATAAACAAAAAAAAAATGAACTAGAGTAGCAGTATAAAGTTTAATTTACATTATATTAGCAAAACAACAAAAACGAGGGATGATGATAAGTTTTATGACTTTTGCAGCGATGCGAAAAAATAAGCGTTTTAAACAAATACTTGAATGACAAGCGATAACATTAAGCAAGTTATGAACAATATTATATTTTTTTATTGTTGTTGTTGCGTTGAATTTAATTTAGATCCGCTTTCTGAAGTTTTTCAATTGAATAATTCCTTTTCAGAAGTCATTTTTGGTGAGCTTATTTAAGCTTTGTTTATAATTTTTCACAGCACTGTTTTGCGTTATTTTATTTTGTAAGTATGAAACCACGAAAAGCATTCAAATAGCTACGGGAAGCTGTTGACTTGAATAGAGAAAGTGCATTTAACAACAAGCAATAAGCATAAAAACAATGTTTGGTGTACTAAGAGAAGAGGTAAAAGAAAGAAAGAAAGAAAAAAGTATTACAAAATTAGTAAATTAGCGTTATTTTTTTATTTCCGGAATTTCTCGTGTAATGCACCTAGGAATGCATTTCAGTTTCATATATAACTGGTTCACGTTCACAGAGCAAGTAACAGCGCGTACAACGTGTTTGTTAGTGAAACGGTAAATAGGCGAAATGCGGAAGAATAAAAGTTTACTACCTTTTCTCATATGCTGTTGAGATAACACAAAGTCATTAAATGTTCACGCCAAGTCAATTAGAACGTTCTTTAGATTAATTAAACTAAAGGTTAATTTGGAGAAATATCCTCTATGCCTCCTTTTTCAAATGTATTTGTGTGTTGCGGAAAGTCTATTTCTTTAAAATTATAAAATGATTTTGATATTTTTGCGACACGTGTTACCCACATCAGTAATATTTTCACACAATAAAGAATTATGAAGAGTAAAATTTAAATCATTAAATGCATAATATGCCCTTATCAATAAATTTCAATTGTGAAACCATAGACTTCTCTCCCTTTTCAACAAAACGCTGTTACTCACAATTGTGTCCTCGATAAGAGGAACTAAATGTACCATTGTTTATAATGTAATGAAGCCATGACGATGCTCTGGCTTCTCAAACTAATTGAATAAATAATAATAATAATAATAATAACAAAATGATCGTTACTTTTTTTCCACATATTATTGTACATTCTCTTTTGCAATCCAAGATTTTTTTTAACAACAGTCTAGAAGTATTTATGTGCTGTGTACAATATGGTGAAATAATTTAAATAATAATTTTGAGCTGCAATCTACAAACAGTATTTGTTGGATTTTATTTTTAAAATAAAGTTTGAATAAAATAACTTTCATTTACGTATCACAGGTCATTCTGGCTGATATACCTAGTCATTCCTTATAAACGGCATATTGATAATATCATATCAGTGACTGTCTATAGTACAGAGTTGCCATATTTTTGAACGAATTTTGAGAGAAGCAAAAAATAAATTGAGTTTAAAGTCGATTCGATTCTGACCGAGAGAAAAGAATTGCAAAAATTGACATTTTTAGATTTTTTGGAAAGCAATTATTTGGAAGTGAAAATATTTGGAACGGAATTTTTTGGAATTTTATTTATTGGAAAATAATTATTTGGAAATAAAATTTTGGAAAATATTCTTTTGGAAGTGAAAACATTTAAAACGGAATTTTTTGGAATTCTAAGAATTCTAATTATTTGGAATATAATTTTTTGGAAAATAATTTTTTAGACGTGAAAACATTTGGAACGGATTTTTTTGGAATTCTAAGAATTTGTAAATAAAATAATTTCAGGTGAAAATGGTTACAGAAATTAAAAAAATTTGTAGTCGAACCTTTGACCATTAATTGATAGATTTTCCTTAGATTATCTAATTAAGACATTTCCAGCATTTTTATTATTGTTTTGTTTATATCAAACGGATATATAAGTAACAACTTTTTACCATTAAGTAACGGGGAACGGGTCAGGAACTTGAATGTAGCGGGTAAACTAGGAACGAGAGCAACAAGATTACCTTATAATGGAATATTATCAGAGCAGACCTGAAATGTATCACATCACGCCCATAGAAGATTTAAACCTGAGCCTAAATTTAATCAAACCTAGATTTGAAGATTAGAAGCTTGGTTCTACATCACCTCAAGTGATATGAAATGTATCACTAATCAATGTAAAAAGTAAAACATATAATTACGAATTCTTCTGGACGGTAAATGTTTGCATTTATTTTATCTTGCTTAAACTTTACTTTTTAACGATTTATCAATTCATGGTCGAGTACAGATTTTTCAAAAATTTTTGTAACCTTTTTAATCTGAAATTATTTTTCCAAATAGTTATCTTCCAATAAATAAAATTCCAAAAAATTCCGTTCCAAATTTTTTTACTTCCAAAAAAATGCGTTCCAAAAAATTTTTTCCAACAAAAAATGATTCGCCGATTCTTACCCCTCCCTCTCAAATAAAAATTTGGTATCAATTATAAGTGACCCGATAACGAGAAGAATTTTAAATCAACTTCGAAAGGAAATTGTAAGCATTTTAAAAATTTTAACGCATAAAATAAATAAGCAACGTGTATGAACAATGTAAGTGACAGAACTCTACTACTACATTTTTCATTTACGATTTTTGTATGAGTGCAGAAAAGAATAAAGAACATTGATATTCTAAACAGAAGGAAAAAAAATGTTTAAAATTACATATACGTATAAAGAAAATGTTTTTTTATTTTAAATTCATTCTTTTCACAGTAAATCATGAGTTAAAAAAGACGAGAGTTCTGCAGACTAATAAGTAAGTATGAGAGGTCTATCAAAACGATTAATTCTTAAGAATAAATTTTGTATGTCTTATTTCTACAAATGTGAATTTGTGGATAAGGCACGAACAATATTTAAGATAAGTTTGAACTCTTAAAATATATTAAAACAGATACATTTGTAACAACTAAAGTTAAAATACAGAAATAAAATATAACGTTTTTAAGAAATGACGTGTTCTTTTAAAACTAAATTTTTGCTCTATCAAAGTGAAATTACAAACAAAAAATCAAAACTTATCCTTTTTTTAATATTTTTCAATTTTTGATCCTTTGTTTTTGGTTTAAAGCAAGGCTACCAAACTGGATCTTATTTTTTTTACTACACACAGCTTTTTTAATTCCAAATAATAACCGATTCAACGATAATAAGTTAGAACCATTTTTTGACTTGAATTAAAAATATTCAAATTATTAATGTTAGCAATTTCGCAGATCTCGTTCAGATCAACTTATGAGTTTCATTGGACAAGAATTTGTTTTTATTGATAACGCGTATATTCTAAAATACTCTTTTGACTTTTGTTAAAATTAATAGTTTTGGACTTATTATTTATCTATTATTATAGCAGCACAAAAACTTTCCATACATGTGCAATATTTCTTCTTAATATTTTTAGTGAGAAAATGTTGATAAAAGATCTTACACAACCTTATATTGAGAATGATTTTTGGCAAAAGGAGAAGAAAAAATAAAAAACAAATAAATAAGAAAGAGAACTTAGCATGTGTTCCATATAAAATTTATTCATCTTGTCTCTTTTTTAGAGTTCTTGAATGGAAGAAGAAAATAAAGATAAAGATTACATTCACGCATACACATGTGTTTCGTATATTTTTGAAAAAAAAAAAAATTCAAGTTTTTTTTTTTCTCTCTTTCTTGTTTGTATTTTGAGGGAAGCATTTTATGATTTTGCATACAATCGAGTCCTGTTTTTGAACAAATTACCAGTCAAACAATAACACAAAAGGACTTGATAGGCAAAGAAGAAGAAAAAGTAAATACACTTGTGATATTATTTTCTCATCTTTTTATACGTGCTGTGGTCCTTTTTTTTGTAAACAGTATAAGAGAAGGAATGAAAGAATATTTACACATACAAAAAAGTGGAATTTAACTAAAACAGGCTTTTAAATATGCTCATTTTAAAAAGATATCATATTTTTTTTATTACTAAAATCATATTTTTTTTTTGTTCCACGAGTTGCGAATAATCAAAAAGATTCTTAAGCGTTAGAAAAACTTTTCTTGACATTATGAACCTTATTATTTTGTTAATAATTTTCTATTCAGTAATAAACGATAGGGAGAAAGGCGGGAATAATGGAAAACAGCAAAAAGTTTTTCTGGATTAATAAACTTGTAGATTTATGTTATCAAAACTATGGGATAATTATATCTTTTGATCAATTGTTTCTTTTTAATCCTTACTAATATCGTATCTATTCTTTTTAAAAATAGAAACTTTTAAGCTGAGGGCACTACGATTCTTTTAGAACAGAATCTTTTATGCCACCATTTTGAGAGACTTTTTAAAGTAGAATCCGAACCACTGGCAAGCTCTTCACAGACACGAGTACTATGATCACAATCTTTGACTAAGTATTGGAAAATGAAAAAAAAAAGATTCTCAAACTTGACTTGATCTGGAATTCAACCCAGGAGTCTCGGCATGCTCTTTGACTTGGGCCATTGATGCTATTTTACCGCTTTTATCTATGCTAAATAAGCAGGAAAAACTTGGTATTAATAAGATTGAAGAGATTTGTCACCTTCCAGTCAATCCTTATGTATTTATTTTTCGTGTATTTACTCTATCTAGCGAGTGTGCTAAAATGTATTTATATATTTTCTTCTTCAATTTTTTAATGATAAGAATTTTTTCAATAAGTGCTCACTTAATTCAGTATATTGGAGATGTATATGAAACACAACAAAAATAATAAAATTATATACAAAACTTAAAACTGAAGTGCACACAAAGCAGGTTTTTCTTATTATTTATTGTTTTCAATACTTGTCTCACACAAAATTTTTTAAGAGCATCATCGCCAGTGGAGGGACTTATTTAAACGCTTTATTTTTATCGTGACGTTCTAGGGGATCATTTCTTTCTTTATTTAATATATTATCTGTAACTGTCTCGTGTATCATAAGCAGCCAATGGAGAGAAGCTACATGTGCTCCATACTATCGTTTTGAGAAAATAATAAACAAATTATCGTATTGAATGATAACTTTGCGTTGATATGACGTAAATTGAAGTCTGCCTCAAATTAAACATTAAGAAATCACGCTCCAATTCATCATTTTGCAAAATACTGGATGTTTAGCTTTTTAATTGTTAAAGACATCTGAATAAACCTAAACACAGAGCTGTCTTGAAATTTTTAATAATTTTAATTAAGACTTTATAGCAAGAGAAAAACTGTCCAACAAGTTTAGTATTTGTTGTATGACAAAAAAAAAAGACGAACGCATGTATGTTTGTAATCAACAAGTTTGTAATCAAAACTGATTAAGACATTTTTTCATCCGTCAATACAAAATAATAATAAAAGAATACTTAAATTTCTTCGAAAAAAAATCCATATTGTGATGGTAAGTACGGCTGCGATGATGATGACATAAACTATTATTTATTCAGTGAAAGTTTTTTTTTGCCGCAACTTATGCCATGTATTTATAAAATATTACGAATTATTGTTATGCAAACATACGATTTTATACTTTTTTTCTTCTTTTGCAAAATTACGAAAACAACTCGCTCTAAAGCGAGCCTATATAAACACACACAACACTTTACACATAATATGTATGTCTGTCTATGTAAGCGAATAGAAGGAAGAAATGAAGTAGAAAAACATGAAAACGAAATATGTGATGTATATAATATTAATACATAGAATGGCTGTTATATATTTTTTTCTGTCTTGTTTCCTTTCTTTCTTATTTTGATATGTTTTGTTTTTGAGGGTGGATTATACATTCTGCATACTATCATATTTTCTTATGATGTTGATTTTTAACCAACACGACTCGTCACATAACGACCTGAAGACATTCAATACTTCAAAGTCTGTTTAATAGGCATGTATGCACATCATTTACGCAACAATCCTCGATCCTCAATATTCACACCGTTTGACACAAGTGCTTATTATTTATGATCTTGGATGGCTTAGGTAAGAATTGATATTTGTCGACAAGTTATTATCTCAGTGTGAATATGCACGGAAGAGACTGTTTGCCTTTTTCCCGATTTTTTGTTGTAAACATACGTTATCTGCTGTTCAAAATGGGCAAACAAACTTTTTTTTTAAAAACATGTAGCTAATATATTAAAGTTTAATGTGGTGTTTGTAGATATTATAAATATGCTTGTAAAAAAGACAAGACGAGACGATGTTATTTTGGAAGCAAAAACCATGTGCTTTTTATAAAGCATTTTCGATGTTTAGAATGATGATAGAGATAATAAATTTTGGACAAAACGGCAACATAAATGTATAAATACTAACCTTTATTACGATATCATTAAAGTCATGAATAAAACTTCCAGCGTGTAAAATTGCAGTAGACATATTTCTTAATTGCTTTTATATCACTTTCAATTTCATAAAAATAATAATAAACTATATATTTATAATCGTAACTCTAATTAAAAGCACTGGTTATACTACTATTGTTATTATTATTATTCTCCTCTCTTCTTGTATTTCTTTCAATTTCAATCTTTTTCTTAATCTTATTTTATTCTTCCAAAAAACACAATTAAAGAAAAATATTAAGCAGAAACCCGATCGACTTTACGCTGCAGATGTTCAATATAAACTGACTGACTTACTGTTTACTGGTTGAAACAAATAATAATAATAAATTTCACCAATACAAAGAAGCGCAAGCTTTTTATTCAAGCTTTCTCTCCAAAGATCTCGAGTGTTTTGACAGAATGCACTATCCAATTATAATAGGCTTGTACTTTCATTAATAAATTATTTTTTCTTAACGGTTTTAAAGCATTTTCTTTTGAATCGATCCGCGAAAAAACTACACATTTTATGAAAATTCAAATATCTTAAATACGTTTTTCGTTGAAAAACCAGCCGAGCGTCATATAATAATGTGTATTAATGTGTCTGAAAGAGGAGGAACTATTTGCTGGTAGCGGATTGTATATTCTGAAAAGCTCAACTAAGGTAAGAATAAAATGTGTTTCGTTGAGTATAAGTAATTCTGCGAAAGTTTCTCAATACATTTATTGGCTTTAATTTTTCTAGTAAAACATTATCGCGACATTTTATGAACTTTCAATGTAAATGAGAAATGTAACAAAATATTAAAATGAACAAGGGCAGACCAGTGTGATAGTAAAAATGAAGAACTTACATTCTATGTACACAAGATAATACCTCGATAATCTAGACTTATGATTTCATATCTATCTCTTTTTTTTTTTTTGAACTTTATTATAAAAACATTACCATTGAGCGCTGATGACAATTATGTTTCAATCAAGACTTGCTTCCAAGTGTTCGAATGGGGAATCTTTAATAGCTTTACTTTTGTGTTGTCAAGTTTCTTGGACAATATTGATTCGACAATTTTAAGGGCAACGATTTCCACTTGCTGTTGTTTATTAGCAGTATTTTCAATATCTTCGTCTTCCTCCAATTTGCCTGGAACTGGCTTTAAGACTGGAATACAATCTCTGACTTTTGTTGGTGACAATCCGCTATGCTTATCTGGCGACTTTTTACCCTTCTCTCGACTATCTGATTGATCGAGATATAGTTCAGTTACGCGCAAAAGCTCATTAGTTACGACCCAATGAAGACTCAATAAATTTTGTAATTCCATTACTCCTTGCATAATCATGTAGTTTGTAGCAGCGCTTTGGGAAACATAAGTCGGTATCAATAGCAATCGCTTCAATTGTTGACATTGCGATATTGATTCTACGAAACTATTCTTAACATCGCAATTAATTAGCTCAAGTTGACACAGGTTCGGCAGTGATTTTGCAACAGATACTAAAATTTTATTAATGCTGAAATTATTTGAGCCCTTTTCTAAGCGTAAACGTTTTAAAACTTTCAAAAAACTCAAATCTTCTGCAATCTGCTGGTCGTTTAGTTGCTCACAAAATCCCAATTCTAGTGATTCCAAAGCAATCATATTACGTAAAAGATTATTCTCATTAAATATGCTTGACAAATTCTCGATTGTAGTCAATGACAGATGTCGAACGTTGATGAGTGGAAGGATGTCAAAATTTTGTACTGTCAGATTATTGCTGTTAACTGTTCGGAGTCTTAGTTCTTCCAACATTGTATCTCCCTCCCTCAATTTAAGACTCTCAAGATTAATCTTATCGTCCTTTAGCGACACAGCATTTATAATTTTCAATTTAGAATTTGACTTGAACAAATTTTCAACTACATTTGACGTACAACGACATAAATCAATGCCTTGTAACTCATTAATCTCTCCAATCTTATCGGAAAATTCACGCCACGATTCATCCTGATTTCCCATTAAAACTTTTCTTAAATCCAAATGAATAGTTCCGTTTCGTTTTAACGTCTTTACAAATCCATCCCAATCGTTAACATGTGAATTTTTCATACGAACAGTTTTCCATAATATGCTACTGTTTCCAACCAAATTCCACATTCGACAAACTCGACTTGCACGCTGTAATTCTTGAACTTTAAGATATTGAAAAGTATGCAATAGAACATCGAATCCCGTTGATACATTGCGAAGGAAATTTGACGAGAAATTAAACGGCGATATTGATGTAGTAGCATCCTGAGCGAAGCTTGGATTGGCTTGTTTCGCAGTCGAGTCAGCAGTTTTCTGGACACTCCTGCGAAGAGAAAAGAATGGAGAGGATGAAATTTAGTATAATGTTCACAAAGTTTTGCTAATGTGTTCTTACACCACGCGATTAATAATCTTTTTAGCGTCATTGCTACTTTCGTCGGATTCAAACATAATGAATTTTTTTCCATTATACGTAACAAGCGTTTGTGGTTGATTTTCAAAATTGTGAGGAGGTTTATCGGAGTTGTAAGGCTGTGGTGGTGGCTGATGATGCTTTTTTGTTGTGTTTTGAGCGCTTTTGGAAAATTTGAAATTACAATTCTAAAAGAACAAACAAAAATGTATTGATTGATGGCTATATAACCAGCTATAACTTAAAAAATGAAAATTGAGCGCGTCAAATATTACCTCGCATGTGAAAGTTGTACCATCGACATTAGCGGTTTTGTTAGCGCACTCAGGATGATATAGACATAAACAAACTTTGCATTGTAATTGCGGTATTTTCCCTAAAGCGGCCAAACAATTTATAGTACATCTCGCGTCACCAGTTCTGATGGACAGAAAATACATAATTTTTTTAGCTCAATTTTAAGCATCATCAGCCGCAACGCACATAATCAGATAAACTCGCAAACAAATAATTGAAACAAAACTACACAATACTCACTTTGATTTGGACTTTATAGAACTGGTTTGCTTAATCTTAAAGGATCCAACTTTAGTCGCGTCTTGACTATTGTCTCTCGATAAATTTTTATTAGTTGATTGGTATGGCGATAAAGAACTGTTGTTTGTACTAATCGATGAAATATTATTATTATTAGTGCTCGGTGGAGGTGGACTCGATCCAAAACGCATTTTGGGCTTTGGAATTCGCTTTCCAAGTAATGGCTGTTGATTACCATCACTAATTACTGGATCTACATTTGATCGACGAGCATAGTTATAATATTTAGCAGGTCTTATGATTTCATCTGGACCAGCTCCAATCGCTTCCTTTACAAGAGTAAAATTATTGATAGTAAGGTCATCATGAAGATGCGTCTGAATTTCGTGTCTTGTTCTTAATTTTTTTCCACTCGGAGTAATGTAATAAACTTCACCTTTTTCTTTACTCATTGATGGCTCAGCTCGCAAAACCTTAAAGAAATCAACATATATATATATATATATGTGTGTGTGTGTTAGATTGCAAGATCCAATCTAGAGTAATTAATTCTTACAAGTTCACGCTTCCATCCGTATCTAAAAGGCAGTTTATAAGCAGGATCCAGTATGTCTGTTGAACGATTGGGTAAATGCTTTTTTAATATCGATGATTCTGCATCTGAAGATTCGTCTGTACAAATTTTCTTTATATTCTGTATCATATGCTGACTGTCATTTTGTTCAGCTAAAAACCGAGACAAACAAAATAAATTTCTTTACTGGATCATACAACTCAGCCTTTCTTACCTATATCGAACCCCAAAAATCCATCTTCCTCTTCTGAACATGATAGCGAACGTTTAATTCCAACTTTCCCGTTTCCTTCACTCTCCATAATAGCTTGGTAATTTATTTGTTTTTTTTTTCTCGCTGAAAACCGGAAAATCACAAATATTACGAGTTATCGATAAAATTATTTATTAACTTCACTTTAAAGTTGACAACAGTAGTTCAAATAACATAAAACATCAATTAAAAGTACTTATATTACCTTATTAATTGCAGCAATCGCGAAAATATATTTAGAAGGAAGTGCTTAAAAAATCAGCTTCAGAAAAAAATAAGCCATCATTTTAAATTTCAAATAACAGTTGAAAAATTAAGGGCACGTTTTTAATTATAGTTAAAAGCAAATAAAACGAAAGTTTTTTTTTATTTAATAAACTGTAATAAGTGGTAATAAGTACATATTTAACTAGTATACATGAATATAATTTTACTCATATGATACTTCTGCATTATATCCGTTTTTCCAGTCTGCTGTATATCTAACAACCTGTATACGGCCATCAGGCAAGGCACTGTAAACATATTGAACTTTTAATTAAACGCTTTGAAAGTATTTGAAAAGGGAATTCTTACACTTTGTATTCGCCTTTTGTTAGATCGCCATCAGAATTTGAAGTATGTGCGAAATCCACGTTTTGATTTGTCGTGTCTATTTCATTCACGGCATACTGGAAATCGAAAGGCATTCCTGGCTCGTGTGCCTGTCAATAAATTGGAAATTCAATTTGTTTTCATGCCATAAATTTAAAAGCAATTAAGACAATAAATACTTCATTTGAAGGAGGTTTAGGGTTTCCAGGAATGCTTGGCTTATTTGGTTGATTGGGTGGTTGAGGATAGTCGTATCCATTTTTTTCTGGTGGCAGATATAAACTGCTTCCTTGTGCTGACACTTTTTGTACGATAATCAACGTCCCAAAGAGTATCTTAAATGTTCAATATAAAAATGTAACTATCACTGAATTTAAACTTTAAAAAATTAAACTTACAAAAATTTTAAACATTTTCAATTATTATCTTATTATGAAAGCAATGCGGAAAATAAAGCCAGTCTGATCTGTTTTTCGCGAAGATTTACACTTGAATGGATGTCTTTAAGAAGAACTCTCATCTTCTTATATACAATGCATAACCTACCTCGCTAGTATTAATAAAATATACAATCAATGCATCACTCGCGAATGAATGCAGCAGCAACAAATGCAATATTGCATTTCAATGAAGGAAAATGTAGAATTTAATAATAGTTCGCTGTAATAATGAAGCATTCTTCTAAATGAAATGAAATGTGAAAGGAAAATCAAAAAATCAAATAATACCAAATACTAGCTAATTTCATAAAAAAAAAAAAATTCAAGCTTATTAATATTCTAAATAATTGAAAAGAACACATGGTAGGGTTTAGAAAAATCCAAGGTCAATAACAAAGAAGAGCTGTCTTGTTACAGTAGCATATATTATATTATGTTTAAAGTCAAAACGACAGAGAATTAAAATTGTGTAATTCATCTTGAATAGTAATAAAAGTTCAATTCATGTTCGATCTGAGTTGCAGTGGGTTTCATAACGTTCATGCTTTAATGTAAATTAAGGTTTGTTTAAGATCTTTGAAATGTGATTATTGTTTTTCCTATTTCTATAAGAATTTAGAAATCAATAAATGTATACGGCAATACCTATTTTGCTTTAAAGATCAAAATTTTCATAGTCGGTTGTCAACGCAAAGAAGAGCGAAATAAAAATTGTTACAATTATACCTAACACAGTTTTAATAAATTTATTAATACAATTTAGTATGCACGATTTTAAATAAAAATTAATTAAACATTTAAGAAATGGCAGGTAGTAATCATCATTATTGCACATTGATTTTTTTTTTCTTCTTACTAACTATCATAACATATTTGCTTAAATTAATGAACGTTTTGGTACGAAACGTCTGCATGAAAGCCAGTATCATCAGCGAAATACTTTGTAATCTGAACTCTTCCATCTGCCATTAAGATCGAATATTCTCCTTTTATCTCTTTATTATTTTTTGTTTGAGTATGTCCAAAGTTATTTCCTGAATGAAAATCTGACACATGATAGCCAAAAGCATAATTTTTGTCTTCATGAAAATCTAAAGGTTTTTTAGTAAAATTATCCTCATATTCCACATAACTTGTTGGATAAATTGGCATATTAAATTTACTTTCATTGAAATCTTCCGTTATTGGAATCGCTTCTCGGACGATATCTTTAGAAGTTGATGGAAAAATAATTTTTTTATGATCAATCTCTTTTTCACGTGATTTTGAGAAGCTATCAAAAGAGATAGGACTTGATAATTTTTCATCCTTATTTAAATAAAAATAATTTGATTTTTTTGCAGGCTCTTTCTCAATTTTCGTTATTGGATTTTCTTTGAGAGCTACAAAGTTTGAATTAGATTGCGCCTTTTCTGATATGTATGGTGTAGTCTCATATTTTACAATTGATTGATATTTTGAGAATGAATTTTTTGTAACTGGCAAAAAAGGTGGGTCTATTACTATATCTTCATTTTGAAATTTTTGAACTTTTACTCTTGTATAATAATCTGAAAGTCCCTTTGACGGCTTTTCCATTTTAGAAGAAATATATTTTGATAATGAAACTGGCACTTTTATAATTTTATCACCATAATAAAACTTCAAATAGTCTCCATCATTTGCTTTTCCTTTTAATTTTGCATCACTGATTGCACTTTCAACTACTTTTTGTATCTTTGATGGCAATTCATCAAATGAAACATGTTTAGTGCAGGAAGTAGATGATAATGGGTGTATAATTTTTATTTTCCTAGTATCACTTGTTGTGGAATCGATGGAACTAACTTGCCTTTTTATTTTCTTTTCACTCTTTGATACTTTATCATCCAAAGAAAGCTTTGATGAAGCTGCAATTATTGCATCTGTATAAACGAATTTAAAAAATTCTTCTGGCTGTACAAACATATCCTTCATAAGATGTTTTTCCTTTCTAGTTTTAGCATTTGTGTCATTATCTGATGATCTTTTAGCCCGCAATTTTCTACTCTTTTTCAAATGTTCGTATTCCTCACTATATTTCGCATCTTTAAGCTCAAACTTTACCAAATGTTTTGGAGAAGTAAAATTTTTTGGAACATCATTTTGCTGCTTTTTATTCGACTCTAAGGTGCTTGAAAAATTGTTTGATGAGTTTTTCTTAACTTTCTTTATTCGACCTGAAGCTCTTTTATAAATCATATGTTTCATTGACTCTTCTGAATTTGGACTACCTCCAAAAGATGACAAATATGATATCAATTTTTCCTAAATAAAATAGAAATGATTTTTTGTACCTTCAATCGGACAATGAAGTTAAGTCATAATTTACCTCATCCGTAAACTTAATAAAAGATCTACGATTGAAGTTTAATTGATGATCTACAATAATGTCTCTTTCATAATTAGCACATGATGAAAAATCAATTGACAGCGTAATAGCACTTATCTGTTATCATAAAAGTTAGATTGATTTAATCATGGAAGAACTTTATTATCAATATTCAAAAATGTGTAACTCACAGTGATAAATATGTTTGAAAACATTATTTTTATTTGAGAAATTAGTTTTAAAAAAAATATATTGCTTTTAGTTCACTTTTGATTACTCTTTACTTTATCACATTCACTATTCGTCTGAGCAGTGTTGCAAAAATGCTTGAAAATTTAAAATAAAAGAAAAATGTTTACGCTTCCTCATTGAAATGGTGCGTGCAAATCTTGAGGAGATCAAACAGAGTCGTCAAGTAATAACTAGTTTTTCTTACTTTCTCCTAATATGAGGAAACTGTCTGTGATATGTAGTAATCGATTGAATCATATGAAGTGGAAATAGGAACTAAATTTTTTGAACGATATTGTATATTTTACATTTATATCCAAACAAAATTAAAAGAATTCTTATACAGACAGATCCATCGGAAGATCCAAAACATTTTCAAAAAAAAACTAGTGTATCGGGTAGAAACCCAATGCGGATATATTCACACCGTACCATCAAAAGTCTTATGGATAGACCAAGATTTGCTCAGCATAAGTTTGAAGGGTGGGCGTGAAGTACGGCCGAGACCCATATCGACACAGTTCAAAAGTTATACCTAATTTATGTTATAATTATGTCAGCTACAAAAACACTTAGTTTGAAGTTTGTCACCCTCGGGAACACTATGAACCAGTATAGCTGATTTTAGTCCAAATCTCGGCCATACTTCACACTTATTTGAACCACATTTTCTCGTAAATGTTAAAATATTATTATAAAATAATTAATCCTGAATTATGTCGCTATTTTGTCACGTGTTTTAAGATGAAGAATTTGTTTTTTGGTTTCCACAGTGAAGAGTATAAACAAACTTCAGGTGGGATAGTCGAAATTTTAGATTTCGATTTTTTTAAGCTATGCATTACATGTCTGGTATGTGATTTATGTCAGAATTATGTCAATTCACAAAAACATCTTAAAAATTTTTTGAGCAAAGAAACAAGAAGGAAATACATTTTCAATTTTGGACTAGGGGCGACCCTAGTCAAAATCAATTTTGTCACTTTTTTCTTCGAGGGTTTATCCAAATGGATTGAATCTTTGCATAAATATTCTAGTGCTTAAAACAAATACAAATAAAACATTCTAAATTTTTTTGAGCAAAGAACCAAGTAGGAAATACATTTATCACTTTTTTATTCGAGGGTTTATCCAAATGAATTGAAACTTTGCATAAATATTCTAGTGCTTTAAACAAATACAAATAAAACATCTTAAAAATTTTTTGAGCAAAGAACCAAGGAGGAAATACATTTTCAATTTTGGACTTGGGGCGACCCTAGTCAAAATCAATTTTGTCACTTTTTTCTTCGAGGGTTTATCTAAATGGATTGAAACTTTGCATAAATGTTCTAGTGCTTAAACTTTTTGAACAAAGACCCAAGTAGGAAATACATTTTCAATTTTAGACTAGGGGCGACCCTAGTCAAAATCAATTTTGTCACTTTTTTCTTCGAGGGTTTATCTAAATGGATTGAAACTTTGCATAAATATTTGAGTGCTTAAAACAAGTACAAATAAAACATCCTAAATTTTTTTTTGAACAAAGAACCAAGTAGGAAATACATTTTCAATTTTGGACTAGGGGCGACCCTAGTCAAAATCAATTTTGTCATTTTTTTCTTCGAGGGTTGATACAAATGGATTGAAACTTTGCATAAATATTTAAGTGTTTTAAAACAAATACAAATAAAACATCCTGTTTTTTTTTGAACAAAGAACCAAGTAGGAAATACATTTTCAATTTTGGACTAAGGGCGACCCTAGTCAAAATCAATTTTGTCACTTTTTTATTCGAGGGTTTATCCAAATGAATTGAAACTTTGCATAAATATTTTAGTGCTTAAAACAAATACAAATAAAACATTCTAAATTTTTTTGAGCAAAGAACCAAGTAGGAAATACATTTTCAATTTTGGACTAGGGGCGACCCTAGTCAAAATCAATTTTGTCACTTTTTTATTCGAGGGTTTATCCAAATGAATTGAAACTTTGCATAAATATTCTAGTGCTTTAAACAAATACATATAAAATATCTTAAAAATTTTTTGAGCAAAGAACCAAGGAGGAAATACATTTTCAATTTTGGACTTGGGGCGACCCTAGTCAAAATCAATTTTGTCACTTTTTTATTCGAGGGTTTATCCAAATGGATTGAAACTTAGCATAAATATTTAAGTGTTTAAAACAAATACAAGTAAAATATCCTAAAATTTTTTTGAGCAAAGAACCAAGTAGGAAATACATTTTCAATTTTGGACTAGGGGTGACCCTAGTCAAAATCAATTTTGTCATTTTTTTCTTCGATGGTTTATATTAATGGAATGAAACTTTGCAAAAATATTTTAGTGCTTAAAACAAATACAAATAAATCATCTTAAAATTTTTTGAGCAAAGAACCAAGTAGGAAATACATTTTCAATTTTGGACTAGGGGCGACCCTAGTCAAAATCAATTTTGTCACTTTTTTCTTCGAGGATTTATCCAAATTGGATTAAAACTTTGCATAAATATTCAAGTGTTTAAAACAAATACAAATAAAATATCCTAAATTTTTTTTGAGCCAAGAACGAAGTAGGAAATACATTTTCAATTTTTCACTAGGGCCCTTGTCAAAATCAATTTTGTCACTTTTTTCTTCGAGGGTTTATCCAAATGGATTGAAACTTTGCATAAATATTCAAGTGTTTAAATAAATACAAATAAAATATCCTAAATTTTTTTTGAGCCAAGAACGAAGTAGGAAATACATTTTCAATTTTTCACTAGGGCCCTTGTCAAAATCAATTTTGTCACTTTTTTCTTCGAGGGTTTATCCAAATGGATTGAAACTTTGCAAAAATATTTTAGTGCTTAAAGCAAATACAAATAAATCATCTTAAAATTTTTTTGAGCAAAGAACCAAGTAGGAAATACATTTTCAATTTTGGACTAGGGGCGACCCTAGTCAAAATCAATTTTGTCACTTTTTTCTTCGAGGATTTATCCAAATTGGATTAAAACTTTGCATAAATATTTTAGTGCTTAAAACAAATACAAATAAAACATCCTAAAATTTTTTTGAGCAAAGAACCAAGCAGAAAATACATTTTCAATTTTGGACTAGGGGCGACACTCAACAAAATCAATTTTGTCACTTTTTTATTCGACGGTTTATCCAAATGGATTAAAACTTTGCATAAATATTTTAATGCTTAAAACAAATACAAATAAAACATCCTAAAATTTTTTTGAGCAAAGAACGAAGTAGGAAATACATTTTCAATTTTGGACTAGGGGCGACACTAGACAAAATCAATTTTGTCACTTTTTTATTCGACGGTTTATCCAAATGGATTAAAGTTTTGCATAAATATTTTAATGCTTAAAACAAATACAAATAAAACATCCTAAAATTTTTTTGAGCAAAGAACGAAGTAGGAAATACATTTTCAATTTTGGACTAGGGGCGACCTTAGTCAAAATCAATTTTCTCTTTTTTTTCTTCGAGGGTTTATCCAAATGGATTTAAACTTTGCATAAATATTCTAGTTCTGAAAAGCATACAAATAAAACATCCTAAAATTTTTTTGAGCAAAGAACCAAGTAGAAAATACATTTTTAATTTTGGACTAGGGGCGACCCTAGTCAAAATCAATTTTGTCACTTTTTTCTTCGAAGATTTATCCAAATTGGATTAAAACTTTGCATAAATATTTTAGTGCTTGAAACAAATACAAATAAAACATCTTGAAATTTTTTTGAACATAGAACCAAGTAGGAAATTCATTTTCAATTTTGGACTAAGGGCGACCCTAGTCAAAATCAATTTTGTCATTTTTATCTTCGAGGGTTTATCCAAATGGATTGAAACTTTGCATAAATATTCTAGTGCTTAAAGCAAATACAAATAAAACATCCTAAAATTTTTTTGAGCAAAGAACCAAGTAGGAAAAACATTTTCAATTTTGGACTAAAGGCGACCCTAGTCAAAATCAATTTTGTCATTTTTTTATTCGAGGGTTTATACAAATGGATTGAAACTTTGCATAAATATTCTAATGCTTAAAAAACTACAAATAAAATATCTTAAATTTTTTTTGAGCAAAGAACCATGTAGGAAATACATTTTCAATTTTGGACTAGGGGCGACCCTAGTCAAAATCAATTTTCTCACTTTTTTCTTCGAGGGTTTATCCAAATGGATTGAAACTTTGCATAAATATTCAAGTGTTTAAAACAAATACAAATAAAATATCCTAAATTTTTTTCGAGCAAAGAACGAAGTAGGAAATACATTTTCAATTTTGGACTAGGGGCGGCCTTAGTCAAAATCAATTTTCTCACTTTTTTCTTCGAGGGTTTATCCAAATGGATTGAAACTTTGCAAAAATATTTTAGTGCTTAAAACAAATACAAATAAATCATCTTAAAATTTTTTGAGCAAAGAACCAAGTAGGAAATACATTTTTAATTTTGGACTAGGGGCGACCCTAGTCAAAATCAATTTTGTCACTTTTTTCTTCGAAGATTTATCCAAATTGGGTTAAAACTTTGCATAAATATTTTAGTGCTTGAAACAAATACAAATAAAACATCTTGAAATTTTTTTGAACATAGAACCAAGTAGGAAATTCATTTTCAATTTTGGACTAAGGGCGACCCTAGTCAAAATCAATTTTGTCATTTTTATCTTCGAGGGTTTATCCAAATGGATTGAAACTTTGCATAAATATTCTAGTGCTTAAAACAAATACAAATAAAACATCCTAAAATTTTTTTGAGCAAAGAACCAAGTAGGAAATACATTTTCAATTTTGAACTAGGAGCGACCCTAGTCAAAATCAATTTTGTCATTTTTTTATTCGAGGGTTTATACAAATGGATTGAAACTTTGCATAAATATTCTAATGCTTAAAAAACTACAAATAAAATATCCTAAAATTTTTTTGAGCAAAGAACCAAGTAGGAAAAACATTTTCAATTTTGGACTAAAGGCGACCCTAGTCAAAATCAATTTTGTCATTTTTTTCTTCGAGGGTTTATACAAATGGATTGAAACTTTGCATAAATATTCTAGTGCTTAAAACAAATACAAATAAATTATCTTAAATTTTTTTTGAGCAAAGAACCATGTAGGAAATACATTTTCAATTTTGGACTAGGGGCGACCCTAGTCAAAATCAATTTTCTCACTTTTTTCTTCGAGGGTTTATCCAAATGGATTGAAACTTTGCATAAATATTCAAGTGTTTAAAACAAATACAAATAAAATATCCTAAATTTTTTTTGAGCAAAGAACGAAGTAGGAAATTCATTTTCAATTTTGGACTAGGGGCGGCCTTAGTCAAAATCAATTTTCTCACTTTTTTCTTCGAGGGTTTATCCAAATGGATTGAAACTTTGCAAAAATATTTTAGTGCTTAAAACAAATACAAATAAATCATCTTAAAATTTTTTTGAGCAAAGAACCAAGTAGGAAATACATTTTCAATTTTGGACTAGGGGCGACCCTAGTCAAAATCAATTTTGTCACTTTTTTCTTCGAGGATTTATCCAAATTGGATTAAAACTTTGCATAAATATTTTAGTTCTTGAAACAAATACAAATAAAACATCCTAAAATTTTTTTGAGCAAAGAACCAAGCAGAAAATACATTTTCAATTTTGGACTAGGGGCGACCCTAGACAAAATCAATTTTGTCACTTTTTTATTAGACGGTTTATCCAAATGGATTAAAACTTTGCATAAATATTCTAATGCTTAAAACAAATACAAATAAAACATTTTAAAATTTTTTTGAGCAAAGAACGAAGTAGGAAATACATTTTCAATTTTGGACTAGGGGCGACCCTAGTCAAAATCAATTTTGTCACTTTTTTCTTCGAGGATTTATCCAAATTGGATTAAAACTTTGCATAAATATTTTAGTTCTTGAAACAAATACAAATAAAACATCCTAAAATATTTTTGAGCAAAGAACCAAGCAGAAAATACATTTTCAATTTTGGACTAGGGGCGACCCTAGTCAAAATCAATTTTCTCACTTTTTTCTTCGAGGGTTTATCCAAATGGATTTAAACTTTGCATAAATATTCTAATGCTTAAAACAAATACAAATAAAACATCCTAAAATTTTTTTGAGCAAAAAACGAAGTAGGAAATACATTTTCAATTTTGGACTAGGGGCGACCCTAGTCAAAATCAATTTTGTCACTTTTTTCTTCGAGGGTTTATACAAATGGATTGAAACTTTGCAAAAATATTTTAGTGCTTAAAACAAATACAAATAAATCATCTTAAAATTTTTTTGAGCAAAGAACCAAGTAGGAAATACATTTTCAATTTTGGACTAGGGGCGACCCTAGTCAAAATCAATTTTGTCACTTTTTTCTTCGAGGATTTATCCAAATGGATTAAAACTTTGCATAAATATTTCAGTGCTTGAAACAAATACAAATAAAACATCCTAAAATTTTTTTGAGCAAAGAACCAAGCAGAAAATACATTTTCAATTTTGGACTAGGGGCGACCCTAGTCAAAATCAATTTTCTAACTTTTTTCTTCGAGGGTTTATCCAAATGGATTGAAACTTTGCATAAAAATTCTAATGCTTAAAACAAATACAAGTAAAACATCCTAAAATTTTTTTGAGCAAAGAACGAAGTAGGAAATACATTTTCAATTTTGGACTAGGGGCGACCTTAGTCAAATCAATTTTCTCACTTTTTTCTTCGAGGGTTTATCCAAATGGATTGAAACTTTGCATAAAAATTTTAATGCTTAAAACAAATACAAGTAAAACATCCTAAAAATTTTTTGAGCAAAGAACGAAGTAGGAAATACATTTTCAATTTTGGACTAGGGGCGACCTTAGTCAAAATCAATTTTCTCACTTTTTTCTTCGAGGGTTTATCCAAATGGATTAAAACTTTGCATAAATATTCTAATGCTTTAGGAAAGTTAATAATTGAAAATGTATTTCCTACTTGGTTCTTTGCTCAAAAAAATTTTAGGATGTTTTATTTGTATTTTTTTTTAAGCATTAGAATATTTATGCAAAGTTTTAATTCATTTGGATAAATCCTCGAAGAAAAAAGTGACAAAATTGATTTTGACTAGGGTCGCCCCTAGTCCAAAATTGAAAATTTATTTCCTACTTGGTTCTTTGCTCAAAAAAATTTTAAGATGTTTTATTTGTATTTGTTTTAAGCACTAGAATATTTATGCAAAGTTTCAATCCATTTGGATAAACCATCGAAGAAAAAAGTGACAAAATTGATTTTGACTAGGGTCGCCCCTAGTCTAAAATTGAAAATGTATTTCCTACTTGGTTCTTTGCTCAAAAAAATTTTTTTCATCGAAAGTTTAATTTAAAAAAAATCAATATAAACTTTTAATTTGAAAAATTCTTAAGAAAGGAAAGTATTTTGCTTTTTCTGAAGCAACAGCTGTTCCTACCTTGCCTAAAAACAATACAGCTCTTCTATAGAGTAGCACGGATTAAATGTAAAAAACTAGAAGCCTCTACGATGTCTCGTTATTGAGATTTCTTGCTGATTAACTTGCTTGTTTGCTTGTTTGCTTGCTTACAGAAAGCATATTTTGCGATTTTCTCAGCAATGCCCCAACCAATTTGAAATCTGTTTTTTTGCATAAGATGTAAAATTTCAGGCACAAACTTTTCTTCTTAATACATTTATAGCTAAAATGCTTCGTTAACTCACAAAATCCACAAAACTGATTTTTCAATTTGAACAAAAACAAAACATTTACACGTGAAAACGGTGTGAATATAAAAAAAATAAACGCCAATGCATCGAAGTCAATTTATTTATACCGAATTATTTCATGTACCGATGTGATTTGATCTAAGTTGTTGGATGAACAACAAAAACTTGTTTGATTAAAAACTGATTTTGCCATATTGTTGATTCACCTTCACAGATATTATGCAATGCAAAAAGAAAAGGAAATAAACATTCTTCCGTTTAACAGCCTCGACTATATAGGTAATTTACTAAGTTTTAAAAAACAGTGACGATGATGTTTTAATAAAATCGTAAAATGTTTAACGTTTTTTAAAAATTCAAACAACAAGTTAAGAAAAACTTGTGTGGTTTTTTAATGAAGTAGTTAACAGGGGCGAAGACAGGATTTAAAGTTTATTTTTTTAGAAGAGGGAGTAGAGGGGAGGGGGGGGGGGGGTGGTAGTGTACCCCAAAATCAATAAAACCTTCTCTATTTAATTATTGAAAGCTTTTTATATCGTTCATCCATATATAATAATCAATAAAAAAATTAAGCAACTTCAATTTCACGGGGAAATAGATATGGGCCCGTTCACTTATTACGTTACGCCCTCTCCTCCCCCCTTGTTAAAATATGTTACAACTCACAACCCCCCCCCCCCCTCCCCTTGAACGTCCATAATTTATTTTATCATTAAAAAGGTGGAAAATTTAAAAAAAAAGTTTTTGGTGTGAATTTGTAAAAAAAATTTTCGTGAACTTTTTTTTAAAAGACAAGACACTTAGAACGTTACATACTTCTTGACACCCCTTGACACCCCCCCCCCCCCCCCCTTCCCTAATGTTACATTTTGTTACAATTTTTCAAACCCCCCCTCCCGCCTAAAATTGCGAACGTAATAAGTGAACGGCCCCTATAATAAAATGATGTTTGCATTTTGAATTTAAAAAAAAAAATGATTTGTAATTTTATTTTCATTTTAATTTTGCGTATTGAAAGTTGTTCCACAACGGTATGTTTTTATAAAAATGAATACACTTTCTTGACGAAAACTAAATGCTAAATGCATAACTATATGTTCTTTTAATAATTTGAAATTTTTTCCCTTCATTGCGTGCATTATTTTTATTGTTTTCATTTCAATATAGCATTTTACCTTCAATTATTAAGGTTTTGTGAGCTATTGTATTGTTGGGAAAACATACACGAGTCGTAAGGAAGGGGAATGGACAATAGATATTTCATGAAAAATCATCTTTATAATTTATTTTCTCAAAAAATAATTTAACTTTCTTTTCTTGGTTTTAATTATTGTCTTATTTGTAGAATATAGAACGCAAAATAACTAAGTTGTTGAAGATTGAAATTGTGAAAATGTAGAATCTGGAAGTAAGTGGTAATTGCTTTGATTTTGAATTTGCTGATTAAAAGCAGGACATGGTTGTGAATAAGTCAGGTTAAATGGAATAAGAGTTGATGCTGCCGCCAAGTTTCTTTAAATAATAAAATATTATGAAGATTAAAATCAATCCCAAGTAAATAATCTATTTATTGTTCAATTTTTTTATTTACCTAAACTGTTGGTCTATTTGAGCTTTTTCAATCCTTTTTTCCTTTGCTCGTCTATTTTGATACTGAAATTGGTTGAGAAAATATGTTCAAATAAATAAACTACAGTAAATGAATAAGAACTAACCCATATTTTTATCTGTGTTTCAGATAACTTAAGGCTTTCAGCTAATTCAAATCGTCTACCACGAGATATATATTCATTTCTGTTAAATTCAACTTCCAATCTCAATGTTTGATCGCTACTAAATGTTGTTCGTTGTCGTCGTTGCTTTCCTTCCTTTTTCCGACGCCTCGCAACTAAGAATGTGGTAAAAAAAATATTGCTTATTTACATTGAAAAATTTCTCACAACTTAATTACTCTACTCTCTATTCTCGAGAAATGATATCTATTTATCAAACTTCAAAAATTTAATTAAAAAAATCAACAAAAAAATTCCCACCAATATGCCATATGGCGACAAGTACTATATCAGTTTCATAAATAAAATAATTATATTTTTTTTGTTTTAAGTTTATATATTTTATAAAATTTAATCATTATTGGAGAGGATGGTTTAGGGCTAAAAGGATGTCCTGTTGAAATTTTCAAGTGACATAAATCACATATATGACACTAAACGTTAATACTGCATTTCACATTTGATATCATTTGTCGTGTATAGTTTCAATAACAAATTTAACAAAAAAAAAAATTAAAACTTAAAAATATTTCACTATTCATTATTTTATTGTCTCCTTTAACAAAAATATTTTGAGAATTATAATTTTTATTTGAAGTATTATTCAAGTGTTTAAATCATTTGTGTGAAAACAAACATGTGTTTTCAAATTTTTCCATTCAATTGAGATCTCCCTTTATGTCTTTATAACGTTTACCGTACATTTAATAAGCTGTTGATTTCATCCCAATTCAGATGGCAGAATATCATCAATTTTTTTTTCTTTTTTTTTATAAAACGAACGATTGATTAGACATTAGACATTAATATCATGATATTAAATGAGTGACAAATTACCTTAATGCCGTACATTTCTCTGTGGTTAGACATTTTTTCCCTTTCATTTAATTCAATTAACTGCATATTAAAGGTTTCATAAAGCACAGATTTTATTACTCTTGAATATTTTTTTAATTTTTTGAATTTTGTTTTACTGCTGTATCAGTTTTCGACATCCGTTTATTATTTTTTCACCTTCCGCATATTTTTAATATTTTTAACTAAATCTTTATTTTGGGGATAAAGCAAGGAGTAAGGGCTTCAAATAGACTAAAGTAAGTAAACCTTAGATTTTATATTTTTGTGAGGTAGGTAGTCCAAAAAAGTATTACTAATGAATGAATGAGTAATTTTTACGATCATTTTACATGTCAAAACAAGTCATACGGAAATGTGGATGAATAATAACTATGATTTTTTGATTTTTATTTATATTTAAGGTGCAAAATACACTCAAAAAAATATTTTTAGTAATTTGTTTTTAAAAACTTGTAGACAAAGCTTTTAATATCATATTCACACAAAATTTTAAGTTTTAAAATTTTAATAAAACTTATTAAATTTTAACATAAGTTACTAAAAACCTACAGCATTGCAAAACCGTTGTAGTTTAGTTTTCTACCAACCTTTGAAAAACGAGGTTTTGGAATTGTCAATTCTCCAAATTTAATTATCTAAAGAACTGACAAACAAAGAACAGAACTCGAAATGGATCGAATCGGAATACTAAAGAGCATTTAATTACTCCAGTTTGAAAAATATGTAAACGTAAAAAGACTTTTTTCGAGGTTTGATGGCAAATGATGTTGTCAATTGTATATTGAGATTCATGAAACTAATAATTTACACGCTCTTGCGTGAAGGTTAATTAGATTGTTTTGATTCAAAAGTTCTCCAATTGCGAAAAAGTATATTTTAAAACTTCAAAAATCTACAATTCCCCTAAATTTGACGATGCATATGGCTACAAAATGTGATTTTGTAAAACCACTTTTAAAAATTTTTATTAAACTTCTTCATTCATTTTTAATAAATTTAAGTTTTTTTATGAGTGAAGGAATTGAAAAATGGCTTCCGTTCTTAGCAAGAGAGTTGAAGTAAAAAGTCATGAGCATATTAAGACAGACACTTGTGAGATTTCCCTTTGGTGTTGTTCACTTATTACTTTCTTTTCATTTAAAAGCATATTTGCTTTTATTGGAGAGTAAAATAAAATAATACAAAATATTAAAAATTCCAAAAATGTTCGTATTTTTTGTGACAATTCGAGATTGGGAAAGAAAAGTGTAAAAACTTGATTGTATTCTTTACATGATAAGTAAACATAATAAATTTTTAAAAAAATATTTCAACTTACGAAATGCCGCAAAATGACTATGAGGATCTGTAGAAAATAATGGCAATCTTATAGCAGTAAAATGTGTTGGCAAAATTGTTGATGAAACAAGATTATTTGATGTTTTTATGTTAGCCCTGTTTTAAAAATTTAATTTTAATATTATTCCAATCGTCAATCTATTTTTTGAATAATCAACCTTTCAATATTTATATCACTAGATGAGCTGCCACTTGATTCTGAAGGAGAATGAATTATTTTATTTCTACTAACTGGTTGTAACAGATTTTCGGATCTTATTTTTTTTTCTTGGTCACTAGTTTTCTCTAAATTTCCATACAATTTTTCAAAGAAGCTCGTATGATGAGTTCGATTATGGATTTTTTCATTTTCTTCTGTTTTATTTGCATTCAATTGAATGCAGTCTTTTTCTTTTTTTGACATCACTCTCGCTTGATGGCTCTATATTATTTATATCGAATCTTTTACCGTCACACTTCTTCGAAGGCTTAATAATAACTGCTGAGGTAATCATTTGAACTGACCAAAAAATAAAGGATGAGAAAAAAAAACACAGAGAAAATTGAGGGGTAAATACGAAATTTTTTAGTGATTCTGCAACAACAATACAGCTCACATTTATATACACATACAATCAGAGTAAAAATGCTTCAAATATCAATAACAATTATTTCTAGACATTAAAGAAGATAATGCGATTAAAATCAAGCATTAAAAAAATTCAAAAATAATTTTTCTTAATTTTTTTTTTAAATTATTGTTATTTACGCTTGGTTTTCTTAAGTTACTAGTATATTTGTAAATTAAAGCTAATAATCGTAATTGGAGCTGTACTATACATACAAAAATATTAAACTATAAGTAAGGGAATATAATATTTGTTTCAATTGGCTGCTTCAACACGTTTGCAAAAGAACCAATCAGAAACCAAAGAAAAAGCTTTTGAGATTAACCGAAATATTTGTATAACTGTAAATTGTACTTTAAATTTTTAAATATTAACGCCATCTTTTTGTCAGATGACGTGCTCTTAAAATGCAAGACTACTACCAACATTAAGTGACAACCTTATTCAAATTGAATTTGTTTTTAATCCGTTATGATTTTACTACTTTCTACGTTTCATACGCTTTTTTAATCAAATATTTTACAAAATATTAGAATCGCTTAGATAACACTGATGGGTGGAATATAAGTAACGAAAAGCTATTAAACGCTTTAAAAAATACACTTCATTTGAATTAACTTGTTAAAGCATGGCCTGAAAGCGAAATCTTTAAAATGAGATAAAAAATTAGTTTTGTTTTATAAACTTTATTTATCAAAATATATGAAATGGCATCAAAAGTTATAATTTGACTTTTTTAAAATTATCAAAATTGCATGAAAAACATTTGAACATTAAATGAAGCATCTTCAAATTCAGAAAGGAAAACAACTTTTTTCTCTGTTATAAAAAGGCACATTTCCAGCAGCAGATAATAATAAAATCAGCAATGACATTAACTTTCATGAAAATTTTATTAATGCGATTTTAAGCACTCTAATTTTTGTAGGTATGTAAATATATTTTTTATAATTTTATTCATGTATACCTTAAAAATGAATCTTTTAGTTTTTCATAAAAATAATTTTCATTTTCTTTTCTCACATTATGTTTATGCTTTTTTGGTAAAAAATGGCGACAAAATTATTAAATTAAATGTTTGTTTCATTAGTTTAATGTATGTAGGTATATTTTTGATTTTTAATGTTTTTTTTAATAATATATATCTTTTAAAATGGTAATTAATCGAATCATCGATATAAATCACAACGCCATTTTTAATAGAATAATCAAATATTTTTAATATAAGGTAGACATCATGTATATATGTGTCAAATAAAAGTAAGCATAAAATTGAAATAATAATAATAATAATAATTTTATGTCTTTAAACAAATGACAATGAAAAAAGAACAAAAGGAAGCATCAAGGTAATAATTTTTAAAAAATTATATTTAATTATTAAATTTAGAAACTTGATCGACAATAAAATAGGGTGGTTAAGGATAAAAATATTAATGATGGGCGGACATTCTTATATCTATGCTAAGCAAAAAAAAAGACTTTTTCTTTCTTTCATTTGCAATATTTGACTTGAAATTTTACATGCGTTTTTTTTAAAATTATAATAGTAGAAGAAACTGAGAGGAGCAATGAATGAATACGCTTATTTTGTAATTATACGTATCGGTGTTTCAAAGACTAACAAGTTTGCTTGGTTCGCTTCCGCTAGTGGGAGTATTAAGCATTTCTAATGGGTTGCGATTTTGTGTTGAACATGGAATAAGAGGATTTGATACTGGAGTTAGACCAGTACCACCTTCCATGAGTGACTCGAAATTAAACATGCCTGTTGATGGAGTACAGACATTAATGCCAGCAAGATCGGTTACATTCTTTCGTTGAAGTGCTTCAGATGGTTTTAAATTTGCAGGCACATTGAGAGAAGATGGACGATTTGGTTTGTTTATCAGTGACTGTTTATTTGGAATAAAAGTTGGTGTATTTAATTGAGGCATGTACGGTGTTGTTGGAGTTGTAATATCATATTCTTGTCCTGAGAGCCTAAAATAAAAATAAAATGTATGTAAGTATTTTATTATTTTTAATAACTTTACTTATAAGTAGAGAACTTACATCTCGCATCGTTTTTTAATCGGTGGCTCATCGTCATAGAGATCGAGAGGTTCAGCTTTAATTTTGAGTGATAGTTTACTATTGGCATTCATGGTATTATTATTATTATTATTGCTAAATGAATTTGTGAAATTTGCAGGACGTTGTATCGACATCGTTGTTGATGGTTTTGATGTAAACTTTTCAAGAACATTCTCTATTTTTCCATTTAAATTTGGCTTTACGTCAGCTGGTGACTCCCTATCGCCTATAATACAACCAGTAGATCGTTTATGTTCATCTATTAATTCGCATAACTCATCACGCATTTTATTCATTTGTTGAATTTCGGTGGTTAATTGTCGCTTTTTGTCTTCCATAGCATCAACTTGTTTTTGCAGTTCATGTGTATGATCTTCACGCCGACGACGGCATCTTGCCGCAGCTTGTTTGTTTCTCTCACGGCGTACTTTTCTTTTTTCCTCTTCTTCAGGCGAGATATTTGATGGTTTATTTGGTTTCCTTCCCCCAACATTTCGGCGTGGCTTTTCATTACTTTGTGTGGATGCAGAACTCGATGCATAATTTGTTCTCGGACGACCTTTTCCATATGATGATCCCTTTACATCGTCCATCATGGATGGTGGGGGTGTATGCCACGAACTGTCTGACATTGAACTGGTTTCTAACGACTCAATGCTATTGTTTGCTTCTTCAGTTAAAAATGATGGAATCATTGCTTGTGATTGCTGATACGCAGGCACTACATATTGATCTTGATTTGTTATAGGCGCTGGAAGAGGTGGAACAAAACCCGCTTGATAAGGAGTGGATTGTGATAAATCATTTGTGAGATCTTGAAATGTCTAAAATTAAAAAAAAAAATGAAAAATGTGTAATGCACATAGTTTTATATAGTTTTCATCCTAAAATTCCTACTATCGGGAACTTTAAATTTATAAGTTTTTTCTTTAATTTTAACCTGTTCAATATTTCTTAAAGTTGTTGGTGTTAACGTTGATGTTGTTCGTGTCGGTGCACCACTTATCACACTAAGTCCACCATTGTATCCCGTATCACTTGTTACGAACTATAAATGAAACAAAAAAATTATCAATTATATTATATGATAGTCTTCTTATTCTGCAAAGATTTTATTATAAGTCAAAAGTTTATCTTAACCTGATGCATAAAAAGTTCACTAGCTAAAAAGTTTGCAATTTCACAAGCATCCATGATAAATTTGAAGATTTATGTATTTCGTTTATTTCGGTTGAGAGGAGACTTTTAAAAAAAATAAATTGTGTTCATTAAATTTGCTTACTTATTTAGGATTAAAATTCAATTCTCTAATATTGATTTCTGGGAAATATTCAAATTTTAAGTTTTTAGCCTTATAAAAGTAAGTTCCAAGAATTTTTTGATATTGCTAATTCTTGCGCGCCGTAATCACCCACGCTTTTTTTTAAAATAAACTCAGTATATACATAAGAGTAAAATAAGAAACAGTGAATAACAAGAAGAGAATTTTTTTGTCTAACAAAGTGAATAGAAAAAGATCTTATTGGATTTGTTTGAAAATTTCGCAATGTTTATAGTTATAACCAAATTTTTTCACAACAAAAATGTAACAATAATGTGCATTAATATGCTTTTTCGTAAAGAACAATCTACTAGAAAGTTTAATGATACTTTCTTTATTTTAAATTTATTCTTTAACGATGCATAACTAAAAATTACGTCATTTTTAAATTTTAAACTATAGTAATAAAAGTATTTGGACCTACATATATAAATAAAGGGATTTTAAAATTTAAATTTTTCCATTCTAATTTAGCAAGAAAAATATTTACGTGTGGAAAATATAAATTTTCTCTAAAGCGTATTTTTAATTCTTTGTTGTATATGAAAAATTCTTTATGCTCCACTCGCAACGTTCGTTCGTTCGATTTCAATATAACAATTCTCGTATGTTATTAGTTTAATTTTCCCATCGATATGTTTTTTTTTTCTATTTTTTTTTTGGTTTCAAAAAGGAAAGAATGAAAAAATAAAATGATAATTAACAATTTTTTTGCACTATCCCGTTCTAGTCCATTCGGCTTTCGGGGTCGACTGAGAGAAATTTATTTTAAAGTTTTTTTCTTGTATTTCATTAACTTTTGAAACACATGTATATGAAAAGAAAAAAAAAAGCATTCGTCGACACGTTATTTGTCGTTAAAAAATAATATATAAAGCTACAACGAGAGCTTCAAAAATTTGCTATATTTTCACGGCTCTTTTTTTTCATTGTGTGCGAAAAGTAAATGAGTAAATCTTTTAATTATAGACGACGATCATTGTGGGAAAAGAATTTCAAATTTGAATGAAGAAATTTTTTTAAAAAAGGGAAAAAATTACAAGAATTTTCTTAGTTGTATTTAATTCGATAATTTTGGATGGTGATATGTTTAATAGTTAATTCTTGTGTCTGTTTTTTATAGTGTTAAGTTGTACGTAAAAAAATATAAATGATAAGAATTTCTCTTTAAAATACATACAAACGCAAAAGAGAGAAATACAAACATGCTCACATAAATCCTAACAATTATTCTTTTCGAACAAGTGATAAGATAGAGGTGTGATGTGTCATACATGATAGGAAAGACTTAATAATGATTCACAAAATTAAAAATGTGTTTTACAGGAAATGAATGATCGAACCAAAAAGTTTAATATATTAAACTAATTTTTAAATCATCAATTTAATTTTTAAATCAGATATCATATATATATATATATATGTATATATAAGACACGCATTGTCTTAACGAATTACAAATCATGATTAATTCGGAAAACTTTATCAAAATTTATTATTATTATAATACTTTTAAAAAAAACCACAAAATTGTCAAGCTAATCTATAGAGGACATTTTACATTATCAGAAATTTATATATAAAAATATTAAGAATCTCGTTTTTACTCATTGCGATTTTAAGCTTGTCTTATTAATTTTTACTTCTTTCACCACAATATCAATGCGAAAATTTACAAGAAGAAACACTTTGGGCAATAAGCCAAGGAAAAAAAAATAAGAGATCTCATCTGATCATTTGTTTTATTATTGGAAATTTAGATGATTCAAAAGTACAGTGGGGGAAATAATTATAGGCGAATTGATATTTTCAAAATTCTCGAAAATATAAACATTTTCAGAAAATATGTTCTATGTGAAATTTGTGCAGCTTAATATGACGAATATCCCAGCGAAAAAATTTTTTAATTATATTAACTAGAAAAAAAAATAACGGCCATTTTTTGAAAAATATGCGTTTCGCAAGTGGAAATAATTATAGGCGAATTTTGAAAAAAATTGTAAAATTTTACTTTAAACTTGAAATTCACTTGAGTTTTCAATTGATTAAGTTATTTAAACATTGTATCAATCCAATTTGACATTATACGCACAATAATTACTGATTTAAATATATAAAATTTGGTCTTGAAATTAGCAAGGAATAAAATTGCAAAAATCAATGTTTTACGCCAATTTGGCAACGATAACTCCTCGATTGCATATGAAATAATTAGATTTTATTGCAATTAATATAGCTCAATAAAAATTTGGTGAAAACATAGTCAGAAAAAGTAAAAATAAAGAAAAATTTTGATCACATGGCCAATACAAAATGAGAAATTTTTAAAATTTTCACTCAAATGAAAGTTTTGGCTACAAACAAAGGATGACTTCTACTTGCTTTTATCATATCTATGTTTTAAAGAAGATATTAAAAAGATTGAACAAGATATATTTGCAAAAAAACGCAATTTACGAATAAGCGCATGATTATAAAATTCTTGTTTAATGCAAGCTTTTAAATTCTTGTTAAAATGATCCTAATAACACTCAAAACTATCAGTTATTACATAATTTGTCTATTATCATAATTAAATATTAAATATCTTAAATATATTAAGATACTATAACTTTTTTTAACAAATTATGATTTTGCAAGGTCATGTGTTCCAGTTGACCAAAGTTTTTACAATTTTTGCAAATATATCTTGTTCAATCTTTTTAATATCTTCTTTAAAACATAGATATGATAAAAGCAAGTAGAAGTCATCCTTAGTTTGTAGCCAAAACTTTCATTTGAGTGAAAATTTTAAAAATTTCTCATTTTGTATTGGCCATGTGATCAAAATTTTTCTTTATTTTTACATTTTCTGACTATGTTTTCACCAAATTTTTATTGAGCTATGTTAATTGCAATAAAATCTAATTATTTCATATGCAATCGAGGAGTTATCGTTGCCAAATTGGCGTAAAACATTGATTTTTGCAATTTTATTCCTTGCTAATTTCAAGACCAAATTTTATATATTTAAATCATTAATTATTGTGCGTATAATGTCAAATTGGATTGATACAATGTTTAAATAACTTAATCAATTGAAAACTCAAGTGAATTTCAAGTTTAAAGTAAAATCTTACAATTTTTTTCAAAATTCGCCTATAATTATTTCCACTTGCGAAACGCATATTTTTCAAAAAATGGCCGTTATTTTTTTTCTAGTTAATATAATTAAAAAAATTTTTCGCTGGGATATTCGTCATATTAAGCTGCACAAATTTCACATAGAACATATTTTCTGAAAATGTTTATATTTTCGAGAATTTTGAAAATATCCATTCGCCTATAATTATTTCCCCCACTGTAGATTTACAAAGAAAAAGTGTTGACGGAATTTTTTATATTATATTTTTTAATTCTAAAGTGTTCATCACCCTTTAAATATCCTTAAAGAAGTCACGCAAAATGATATGGTGCTCTTGATTTGGGAATTCCCATAAGCACTTTGTGCATCAAAAATGAGTGGATAGCGTACGAAAATACGGCCAAGGTATATTTTTCATTTTTATTCATTTACATTTATCTTTGAGATGTTTATATATGGAGTTTAAATTAAATATTAAAATTCCAAACTGCATAATTGATGTTTTATGTATTTTTCTGGAATTATCTTTGGAAATATGAAAAACTTGAAGACAAATAGTTGAACCTCTTAATTAGAAAAAGGGAATTCAACGAAACAATAGGTTTTTCTTTTTTTAATCTTTATTCATTTTTTTTTTTTATTTCAGTAACAATTCATTGTAACTTTTGCGAGCGACGCGCAATTCATGTTGACTAAAAGGTGTGTCTGCCTGTTTAATACCTTCTTTTTCACACATGTAAAGTTTTCACACATAATACTGTTCCTTAGCCCGACAACTCGATTTGACAAACATATTTGAGCAATAAATATACAGTTAAGAAAGTGAATAATTTTTTAAATTTTTGTGTACCAATGTACGCGTATAAAATCAAAGATTAATTTCAGTAATATAAGCGACTTCCATAGTTGGATCCAAAAAATCATCCTTAAAAACTCGTTGAAAGATTGAATTTTATAATACAATTTCTCGACAATATTTAAATTATTTTGTGAATGCAGAAAACATATACCCTGTTTTTTCGTTATAAGCTACTACTCGTTACTAAGCTCCTAGCTTAGTAAAGTTTTTTTGAACTTAAACATTTTTTGTAATCTTTACTGAGCTGCTCCTCGTTACTAAGCTACTAGTGAGCCAAAAAAATCACTTTTTATTCTTCTAAGCTACTAGCTTATAACGAAAAAACAGGGTATTTAATTTTTTATAATATTTATATATTTGCAGAGTTGCATCCAGGGGTTAACTGGCGTTAACTGTCAAAAAATTCATTTCTCTTCCATATGCAACAAAGCGCAAAAATGTTTTTAATAATTCTTTTGTCTGTATCATTGACAGTCTTTCAGGCATTGACGCCTCCATTCAATTAAGGACTTTCAGCTTTATGGTAACTGACCTCTTTATTAATGCTGTTATTTTGTATTTTTTTTAAAGCTTTGTATGATCCATTCGCACTGTAAAAGAAATATATTGTTAATTTTACACCCCAATAAGCCATAAAATCACAAAGTTCAACAGATTTTTTTTTTTTGTCAAGTACACGGTAGTTCACAAATACTCGGATGCATTTTATAGATTGCATCTTTTGGGAATGATCATTATTTCTCA